CTCTGCAGGCATCTCAAACAACATTAAGCACCTGCTCGTGGGTTGCTAACTGGAGCCCTTCTTCACCGGCTGTCTGAAGGCTGGGAGTGTGGAGGCTAAGAAAATGCTCAGCCAAGAAAGATAGAAGAGATGTGCCCACTATTCAGACCAGGAAATCACAAAACTGGGAAATATTTTGGAGGGGTGATGATCCCTGGTAGGAGACTGCTTCATTCAGTGCTCAGCACAAACCTCCATCTCTTCTGCATTGCCTTAGAATAAACCTCTTCCTCTGTTTTGGTACAAAACCTGCATTCTTTCTTTTATTTATCCCATGTGTCTGAAAAAAATAAAATAAAATAAAATGAACACAGTTCCAACAAGCTCTGAAATGGGCAAAGCAGCTCAGAGTCGCAGGAGGTTCCCTGCTGACTTTGGGACATCTGATATTCAAGCTGCAGCACGTTTCATCAAAAGGGCCGTTTCAGACAATGAGTTCCAGTCCCCTCAGGTGCTCCCATCACCATGTGCTCTCTGGCTGTGGCCAGAGGTGGACAGACTGGGCAGCAGATGTTAGGCTGTGAGAAAGTCTGCCTTTATTCAGCCGGCCTCTGAGGCAAGCTTCTTTCTCACCACACCCTTCCCATTGCTCTGCTTGGATGCAAACACAATTTGTGTAGGAAGAATTCCTTCATATCCTGGAAACATACACTCAATGAGACCTCCTTTAATTAAAACAAAATATATACTTTTTTCTTTTTCTACCTATTTTAATCCCTCAGGACTGGGACTTAGTCCCTTATTTCCCACATGGAGATATAATGTTGGCACGTGCACATTTGTGATGGTCAGAGCAGCTCTGTGAAGCTCCCAGAGTCAGGCTGCTTGTGTGTTAGAACCAAACCCTGCAGGTTCAATTAATAGGCTTTGGAAATGAACCAACAGATGATGATCCCCAGGCTTGTTTTAAATAGAAGAAGGTGGCTGTCAAGGAAGAATTTGACCTGCTAAGGTCTGGATGCAGCTGGGACACACAGAGAGGCTGAAAAGCTGTAAGTCTGGGACCTACACTGTGATGGCTGCAGAGACAAAATGTCCCATTGCTGGGGTCATAAGCAAACAGGGACTATCTGAGCGAGTGGATGCTTCAGATTTTGGTTTGCGTGGATGGTAAAATCTATTTGCTTTCCAAGTCACAAGCCTGGAATTTTGTTCTGATGTCTATAAGGAGAAAGATGAACAGAAAATATGTTTGCAAAGTGGGGGGAAAGGTGGGATTTATATATTTTTTAAAAATCCAACAGTTTTCTTCAAACACGTAAGGGCCCATTAAGTTAAAAAATCTTTCCATTACTAATTTCAGTTAATTACAGGCTTAAATAAATACAAATCTTGGTTACCACGATCAAAGGCTGGGCCTTCAAACTAAGGCAAATTCTCTTGAAGTCACAGATTTGGAAAAAGGCCTAAACACACAGCGTGGAGCTGGTGACGCTAAAGGGCTGGGAAGGTGAGCATCACGAGAGCTGACACAGGAGGCAGACCTGGCCCCACACCTTCACCTGGAACATGGGCACGCTCCTGTGTTGTTTCCACCATCCAGATCCAGAAGAAATCACGGAGTTACTTGCCGGCTTCTGTTCATTTGGGTGCTTATGTTCCCATCTGGACAGCTAATTCTCTTCATTTTGGCTCCTGCAAAGCCCGAGGTCAGAGTAAAATGCATGTGGCTGCTGCTGATGGACGACTAATTTGGGGTGAAAAGTCCTGCATCAGGAGTTTTCCACACAAGAACCTAAATTGTGCACTCTGGCTATAATTCTATTTGAAGAAAGCCATTCAAAAAACAGATTTCAGGGAGAATTGGTTGAGCAAAGGGAAACTAGAAAGCTGGCTGAATTTTTATTTGTTGTATCTGTAGCAAGCAGTAAAAGAGGAGGAGGGGGGAGGAGGAGAGGAGGGAGGAACAGGAATGCTCTGGGATGACTGGGAAATGCACAAGCCTTTATTTATCGACTTTGTTTACTTTAAAATGCATCCAACTGGAAGGCTAGGTGCAGACATAAAAACTAAAATAGAAAACATCCTGGGCCAGGCTCTTGGAGAATGCAAATTGGCATGGGAGCTCCCATGGCTTCCAGCAAAAATCTGCCACATTTACACCACCTGCATTCAGTTTCTCTCAATTTAAAATAAAAAATAAAAAAAAAAAAAAGCCAGCTCCACCTCTGCAGTCGGTTTTACAAGGAGATTGAGGAAGGGACAAACAGAAGAGGTCTCTGAGGTACCTGTGAGAACAACCATTTGGGTCACGGTGAGTCTGAACGAGAGCAGAAATGAAAGGAAAGCCAGCATGGGTCAAGGAGCGCAGGTGGGCTCCAGATATGAGCAGTGCTGTGAGGCACTGAGCTGTGCTCAGCTTGCTGCTGTTCCTGGGTGGTCCAAAGGTGTAGTCCCACCGAGGGCTCGTTGCTATAAACCAAGCCTTTGCCTCATGGACCTGCCATGGAGTTGAGGGAAGCGAGTTCAAGTGGGGTCACCAGGAAGAATACGATCATTGAGTGGTAACAATGCATAAAAATCAGCAACAGACCATGAAATTCAGCCTCAGTCTGCTTAAAATGCTGGAAATGTGGGAAAAGAAAGAAAGGATAAAAAAAAGAACAGTTTAACATCATGTACCCAAAATATGGTAGTGAATACTTTTTTGAATGCTATTTATATCTTATTAGTAGAGTTAATCCCATGTTTCCTTAATTAATGAATCCCATGCCTAAGCGTCAGGACATCTGGACCAGACAGCAATTTGGAGTTTGGAGGGGGAGCAAAAATGCTCCCAAATCCCTGGCAGCAAGATTGGAGTGACCTAAAATATGCAGCTCTGCAGTGGCAAATATGATTTCCCTTGTCACAAATGGACAGGATTCTCTGGAGAGATGGGAGGTGCAGAAAAGCTGCTTTCTGCTGGAGCCTGGATTGCAAATCGTGATTGGGTCACATCTGAGCATCTCCATCATTTATAAACATTTTGCTTTTCTCCTACCGAGGATTTTACAGTTGCTCTGGGTTCCTGCAGAGATTTTCACAGAGGACATGTTGTTCTTTTTGGATTAAGCCATCTTCCATGTATGTTACTGGCTGTGGAGTACTTTGATTTAGACACCCAAATAGCCCTTTCCCAAATGAAGCTCCTCTAGTTTATCAGTAGGGAAATCAAAGCTGAAGCATTTCAAACTGAACAGAAGATGCAAGAAATAGAATATTTATTTTGCAGAAAAAGCTCAGACAGAATTAAGCTCAGTGCACATTTGATCAATTTTGCCTGCTTAATGCACCTTTATGAGCTGAAGATAAGAGCCAGCCAGCCGCACTTGCAATAATACGGTCACAAAAAAATACCCCAGTGAACTCTCTCTGAGATAACATCTTCAATAATCTTTCCGGTGTAAAATAAACAGCCAGAAAGGAAAACAGGAATGGATCCAAATATTCATGTCTCTCTGGCAGTTGTGTTTCTGGGAGTGGAATGGTTCTGGATGGAGGATCCTACATATGGCTTAGTTAATGGGTCGTGATAGGAGTGAAAATCTTCCTAAAGAGGAATGTAAAAACGAGGGCTCAAAGAAGAGCCTTTCTTGTCATAATTTATGGGCTGAATGCTTGCTTAAGGAGTGCAAATAATCCTTCGCAGGCACGACTGCCACTGACATCTATGAGAGCAGGCACTGCAACAAGAACTGGGTTTGATCTGCCAAAAGATATGAGAGGAAGGTGGCTGCATGCGGTACTGCCTCTAAGGAAACTATTAGCTGAGAAAGCAAAGTCACATTTCTCTAATTGTATTAGTATTGGCCAAATCTGGGAGTTCTCACCTAGACTTTATTTGGCCAGAATTTTTCTTGAAGTCAGTTGGAATTTGCTCGAGGTAGGGTTTCTCTAACGGCTGAAAGTGTCTTCAGGACCAAAATCCACTGTCCATTCTGTCAGATGTTCTGATTAAGTGTCAAGAAGCCTCTGCCAGGGAATTTATGGACGTGTGTAGTACATGGGCTTGGGAAGATGCACAACCACTGTAGCTGACAGTGAACAGTATTTCCTCTTGTATCTGAGCACTATTAGATGAAGAAAAGAAGACAGAACCTTACTTGGAAATGTGAAACAGAAGCAAAAATGAGATGGAGGCATTTCTGGGTGTGAAGACACCATTAAAAACAACAATAAGGATTTAAATTTTGCTGTTTCATCTGCATTTCTTCTGTTTTCCATAAGACAACATGTTACATTATTCTGGTCCCCAATGGTATAACAACTTCCACATGGAGAAGGATGAAAATGAAAATTATGAAAATAAGCCATTGAGAAGTGATGACATTAATATATATTTTTTTAATGGGATTTCAGATTGTTAATCTGAGCACATGAGGTCTGTGCTGCACTTAGCACCTTCAATAATTCCCTGTAAGCCGGATCTGAGATAAGACTGTATTCATTTCTGGTGGAGCAAAATGGATGAAGCACAGTTTCAACTCCTTTGAGCCATGCTACTTATACAGCTTCTATGCTCGACATCAACAGCTGCTTGATATCTTATATTTAATATTTATACTGTTTTATATTTACACTATACTATTTTTCTTCTATTTTTCATTTTCCCACTGATTTTTGTTATAAGACCAAAAGTGCATGTGTATTTTGGTATAGAAAGCTAAAATGCTGTTTTATAGAGGCCTGTTCAAGTATACCGAATTTTTCCTTTCTTTGTCTATGGAAAACAATAAGAAATTAAGAAAATACCTTTACCCTTAAGCTTACACACATTAAGATTTGGTTGTTGGTTGTGTGAGAGTGTTGTATGGGAACTGTTGAGTCCCAGCCTGAACCACTGATTGAGCACCTGGGGACAGAACCCACTCAGCACAGGTGAAGGCAATTCATGTGTGGGACCAGGAGGGGTGGATCCTGGCTGCACCTCTCTTAGACCTCATTTAAGGGCTGACTGGCCCTGGGGGAGAGTCTTTTCCTGGAGATCCTTGTTTGGTGAAGCTTTCCTCTGTGAACTTGGAATCTTCTGGTACAGGTGAGCAATCTTCTTCTCTTCTTTTGTAGAACCTCTCTAGTGTGCCAGTCCTTTTGTCATTGCACCTTTGTTGTAATGCCTTTCCCACTGTATTGATCTGTCCAATTGCTACTAGTATGTAGAAACGTGTGTACAATGCATAAGTGTTTGAGAGTGGAGAATAGTCTTTAACAGACTAACAGAATTTCCCAGCAGTAGGAGAGATAGATCATTTATCTTAAGATTTTTATAGGGATCCTTTTTGGAGCTAAGGTGTGAAAATTGGCAGCTCCTTTGTGTTTTCTGACAGACTGTTGAGGATTGGGTAATTAGAAATCAGCTCTGATTCCAAGTCAAACAAGCTGAGGCCACAAAGTCTTCATAGGATGTTTGTCTGAAACATTTTGGTGAGCACTAATATGTTCAGAAAGAACAATATTGTTAATCCATGTTCACAAGTCCAATAGAGAGCTTGTTATAAAGCAAAACTGGTATAAAACTTGTTTTATGTGAGTGCTCAGTCTTCACGATCCTTCCAGCCAGGAAATCGAGACCAAATCTTATGGTCTGTTTGTTATTTATGTAAGTGCTCACACCGATTTAAGTGCAAGAGTTAGCTTTTTAGCTACCTTCTGATGGTTTATTCAGCTTCCCAGCTGGGGTGTTGAAGGTCAAAGGATTTCCCAGAGGTTGCAACATTCAGTGAGGCATCAGTCCCTATAGTAGCCCCCCCCCCCCCCCCCCCCCCCCACTCTCCCTCCCTTGTCACTCAGCTGGCTCCTCTGTTCTCTAACAAGCTCCACACTGGTGAGGCTGAGGACAGAATTTTGGCCCCATTTCCTCAGCCTTATTAATTTCAAAGCACTCTTCTGCTAAATACACTCTACAGGCTTCACGAGTCCATGTTCTGGCCTGAGAGATGTGGTAGACACTGAAATAAGTTTCCCTGAAGTCGCAGTGAAAGCTTCATAACTCAAATTGCTCAGAATTGGATCTGACAAAGCATAGATGAATATGTTGGTGTGAACAGAGTTCCTCTGGCAGAAGATGTCAGAGGAAAGGACTTAATGTGCAACGTGCTCTCACATTATGGGTACTCAACACGCAAACTGCTGGTGGTCTGTGAGACATCAGAACATGAGCTGCGAGATGATGGCAATGTCTTTGGTGTGTTTTTCTGTTGTTGTCTTTTTTTAAGAATGTTTGGAAAATATAAGGGGAGAAAAGTAAGCACAAAGCACTTAAGTTTTAGACTGATTCTTCTCAGCACCACACAAAGTGGTCCTTGGATTGTATGTTATTCAAAGGTCGGATTGACTGTGGATTGAGAGATACTGAAAAGCACTGTGGCAGTAGATAGAAATGAAAGCTGGGTTGAGAGAAGCCTTTTGCTTGTGTTCTGCACTAGGAGTAATATTTCAATGTTTGACTGGTGGTGCTAGTGTCATTTCTAATTTCAGCATTATACTGAGATGCTGAGTATAATACTAGATCAGCTTTGGGATCCAAGAGTTGTGCTTTGTTCCCACCAGATCTGCTTTGACTTCTTTGTCACTTACATAGCTTCTTGTGTCTATGCCACTGTAAAACCAGGAACATTTTAACGAGGTTCTCATTGTTCTTCTGTTTTGAAGGCTGTCCAAGATGTGTAAATTGTTGGCAAATGCCTGCTATTACCATACTGCTGGAAGGCTTCTTCCTATCACATTGTCTAAATAGCTGCTGCATCACAGTCCTTACATATTACATATTGGGTATTGGTTGTAAAGTTTGAAATTGAAGTCTGAGTTTGGTGCACAATGTTTACTATCGAAAATAGGATTACTGTGTAAAAGAGCATTGACAGCTCTGTACCATCACGAAGACAGAATAATAATTTCATGGATTGTAGGGTCTATCTGGATTCATAGTGGTGAGATAGAGGGGATTATTCTAAATTGTTTGGAGGATGAGATTTTTGGGAAAAAGCAAGAAGGGCAATTCCTTGTCTCTGAAATCAGTTGTTTTTATTCACTCCATGGGGAGACTTAACCCACAGAAAAAGAAATACCCGTTTTTTCCAATGTGAACAGTTCACAAGAGTAATGCCAAAAGAATGGGATCATTCCCCATCTTCTCACACCAGAGGTGTTGGATTCCTTAGGTTTTGTACATCTAATGATATTGAAGTGTTTGTGACTTCATGGCCACTGTGGAGTCAAGCTGAGGTGGCCTTGGAGGTGCTCTGTGTTCTTGAGATGTGTGGTCCATACCATGCAGGCTTAATAATGCTTTCCATGCTGCAAATGTTAGCCTTTAAGCCTGTTTTATTTATTCTGACTGTTTAAACCACTATCTGTTTTTGAACACGGCCATTTTTTATAGATTGAGGAGATCATTATTTGCACAGTTATCTGTTCTCTCGTTCATTTTCAACTGTTTTTGTTATATACATATGAAGTACTTTGGATCCAGCAGAGTTCATAGAGTACAAAGGCTTGTGCTGGAAAAAAATATTTGCATTTCGCTAGCATTCAGGAGAAAGGTCAATAAAATAAAGCAAGATGAGAAATCATGGGGTGAAATGCTGGCCCCACCATAGTTAATGGGAGTTCTGCCATTGTCTTTAGCGGGGGCCAGAATTTCAGTTGTTGCCTCAGATATGGAGAATGACTCCTTACAGTCCACGTTTCAAGCCTTAGGAGGCAAACGGAATAGAAATAAATCAATGTCCCATCAGAAATGCAGATTTCACCTTATCCTCTATGTTTCTGAATCCATAAAGCATAAATTCCGGATGGAATTTGAACTGTGTTTGACTTAGGTTTTTGTTATTCCTTTGGATTTCCAGAGGACTGACTGTTACAGAGGTTGCCAGGACAGGCTCTATAGGTGGAATAACCTGAACGACAGACATTCTTATAAGATGAAAGCGTTCCTCTTATAGATCCAGGACCGGACAGGCTGTCTGCTCCACACAGTAACAAAGACTGAAGCCATATTGGCATAGTGCCTGTTACAACACTAAATGCTTCCCTGTGGCTTTCTACTCCCAGGGAGAAAGAGCAAGGAAATCAGCAGGGAAACCAGTGGAAGTCATGGTTTGACAACATCAAAGAACAGCTTGGACCCTATCCTTATAGAGAGGAAAAAGGTTGCCAGGATCCCATGAGTTGGCTGACTAATAAGTGAAATTCTGCCAATGCTCCGATTCAGGATGGCTTGGGGTGACCCAGTGACTGCTGGCCATCGCTGGTGGAAGAAGTTAACAGGAAAAAAAGCAGGGAGATAAAGAAAAATAACCAAGCAAATACAGGAATTGGGAACTCATAGGAGCACAGAGGGAGTCGCCTCTTGAATCAGAAACGTCTGTGTTAGTAGTAAGGTCAACAGTGACTTCTGAGAAGCATTTGCAACATTTGTTACCGCTTCCGTCCTCTGACATAGACACATCAGCGTGTGGTGTTATTTGTCTTGTCCACACGGATCAGAATAATGGACAACGTGGCAGGGAAAGGCAGAAAATACATCATTTAAGAAGCAGGACGGCCAGATGTACATGAGTGCTGGGATTTCACATAAAGCGCATGGGTCAGCCCCTTCCAGTTATTATAAACAGCCTTGTGCTCTTTTATGAAGACCAGATCCTCAGTGAGGTCTGAGTGACTTAATTTGCTCATCTATGAAAGTGGTTAGAGCAAACCACGGTGCTGCAGGGCAAGGGACAGGCAACTGCCTTTGGGTAAGAAGGGCTGATGATTGATGGTGGGACTAGATGATCTTAGTGGTCCTTTCCAACCTTGATGACTCCGTGACTCTAAGAAGGAGCTTTGTGAACATACAGTGGGTGAAGGGCTGCTTAGGCTGTGCAAAAAATGCTTCCTAGTCCTCCTGAAGTGGAAAAGTCTACTAAATCAGCCTAAATGAATTGGATGAAAGCTACTGCAGCCTTAAGATTTGCTGACGAGAGATGTTAAGGTGAGCAGGGTGGCTTTTAGTTTGCTGTAAGTCCTTCTTCAGCGCACCAATATGCTCTGTCCCTGCACCTCCTGGATTTCAGCTCATACTGAAGAGCACTGCAGGACCTGGATTCCCCTGGAGAGGATACCAGTGCAGCACTAAAGCCAACATTTAAGTGAGAAGAATGATTCTACTGGAGAATCTCTGACCACAGACATGCATGCTGCTGGCTCATGGGTCTTGTTATCCCTAGATCATGGGATGACCAATGCAATAGGGCTGCAGATCTGTTCACAGCCTCTTTGTTTTAGAAAAATCACTTCTCTTATTTCCGTACTTCTGATTTCTTGCCTCTTTCTGGTTAAATTCTCAGCTCCTCAGAGAGGTTTGCAACAGAATCGCGATCTCTTCTGAGGCCTCTGAACACCGTGGTAATATAAATAATAAGAAAGCATTTATCAAAGCATACAAAGGAAACTCTTTGTGCTTTGATTTAAAGAATGTAAAATGAGTCTTGGAAAACATTCCTCCAAAGGAGTAGAGGATTAATTAACACTTGCCCAGCCCGCTGTGACCACAAGCAGTGCTAGGAACCCTGTGCACAACTGCATTACCTGCAGGAGCATGGGCAGGCACCAGATCCTGCAGAACATCTCCTTGCTTTAGCTTGGCTTGCTTTTCTACACCAAGAACACCCAATGGAAACCAAAGGGGCACACATGAAACTACACCTTCCCAATTTTTTTAAATAGGACATAGTTTAGCTTCCATGAGTATTAGCATACTTATTGCTAAGCTTTGATATATTGCTGCATATTTGATTACCAACGTCTTTCAAAGACTTCAACCCAGAAATTCCCTCCAGGATGGCATCTGAGTGACATGGGGACACCTCACAGCTGCAAAGAGCAATGTTCCCATGTGCCATCTGGTCAGAGCTCATCAGTCTTCTTTGCTGAAAGATTTCAGAGTTAAAGTTTATCGTCTCAGCTGGTTCAAATTGCAGAGCATGAGAAGGAGGGATGGTTTACCAGCTTTTAAGCCAGGATAATTTGTTTGCTTTTTTTTTTTTTAATTGCAAAAATGGTTTAAATCCATCAAGTCACTCTTCACAGTTACAGAGGTGCTATAAATCCTAATCTGTTTGGAACTTAATTTCTGATTAATTTTTTTGCCAAGCACCCTAGTAAAAATGGATTCATTTAAAGCTATATGGAGAAAATATATATAGACTTTTACAGCAGCCATTATTTTTTTTTTTAGCTACATTAATTTTTTTGTATGCATGTTTGAATCATTATAATAGCAATAAAAAGAACAGGCAATTACATTTCCTGTAAAGAGTCATTAGGAATGGAAATTTATAAAACCCTGCATTTAACGTTACTACATGAGTACATATATGTGCACATATACAAATGTACTTGGAAAAAATATGAATACAGTGGATAATTATGGCATATGGGAAGAGAAGGAGGCTATTCTGGTGTCTAAAAGAGCTGTCTTCTAGCTTTATTGGATTGGAGGTAGATGATCCTTGAGGTCTCTTTCAGCTCAAGCCTTTCTATTTATGAAATCCCAGCAGTGTTGAGGAGCATCTACTATGTGTAGATGTGGTACTTAGGAATGTGGTTTAGCAGGTGTTATAGGTGGTAGGTAATCCTAGAGATCTTTTCCAACCTTCATGATTCTATGATTTTTGTGATTATGGTTCCCAAAGAAGAAATTCATGCTATGCATGAAGCACAACCGTGCAGCAGACCCTCAGGCAGGGATCAATGTGGGATGTTCGGGTGAATGAAGAGTGTGTCACTGGAATGCAAGGAGGGAACACCCACATGCCCAGACCCTGAGAGCTGGACGTAGGGGTTAAAACAAGGAGAGATCAGTCACATGTGCAACCTGCCCTCATTTCTCAACTGATCTTTGTATAACACTATGAATGCCAGAGCTCAACAGTTATTGTCTGCAGTCCTGGCCACTGTCTCAAATCAGGGACAGCAAATAAACAGTGTTGGCCTTAAAAGACTCTGTTTGTAGAGAGCTGAGTGTTTCTACGTGGTAGTATTTGTGAATGCACTGTGATGAGGAGACAGTGATCGACACAAGGTTAGAAGGCAGAAAAACATCTCTTGGCAACCCAGGAGCAAACCCAGCCTGATACAGGGTTTTTTAGCATGGTGTGCTGATGATGGGAAAGCAGAATCAGTGTCATCTCTGCTCACCCCACTTCCACCTCTCCAGGGAAACTTGCTCAGGAAAAATGGGGTACGTATTACAAGAAGAGAAACTGTGGAGAGCAGTGGGCTCCTGTCACCTGAGAACAAACAGGAGACCTCCAGATTTCTCTGCATGTAGGTGGTCTGGGCTAGTTTAAATGAATGCATTGGAAATGCAAAGAAAAAGGCCAGGGGAGGAAAGCATCACTCTCTCACTCAGCCATTGCAGCACAAGAGGATTATTTATGAACTTCTACTTTAAAAGCATTGTCAGACCTTGAGGCCAGTTGTTGTGTTATAAAAGGAGAAGCTCAAAAGCTGAAAGTGTGGCTTTACTTAAATGCTCAAACTGAAGAAATCTCCCCCCCCCCCCCCCCCCCCCCCCCCCCCAAAAAAAAAAAGTCAAACTTCAAGGAAAATAATTTCAAGTAAGATACTCTTGCCAAATTCATTCAAAGGACTTTTTTGCCTCCTATCAGCCGCTCTTGTATCCAAGGACAACGTTATTTTCCCATTTTTGGAAAAGCTTTGGGTGGATGTTTGTTTATAAAAACTTATTAGAATTTGCTAAAATATTTTCAGCATAAGACCCATGGCGTCAACTCATCTTTCCTCGCTAAACCAATAAGCATGTACTAAGGCACAATGCGTTGGGCTTCCTGTTTACATCCGCAGATGGCAAATTAATGCTTGCTCACTCCTCCTCTTCATTAATCTCTCCTTTTCTCACATAATCCATAAATGAAGCCCAGATGGAAAGAATTAGCTCAAAATCTCTCCTGCCCCCCCACTAAAAAAAAAATGTGCTGGAAGAGGAGTTTTGGTAGCGCTGATTACACTGCAGAGTTGTTCTGTAATCCTGAGTCCTGAAGTATATTGCTGTCTCCCAGTCTCCATGTGGGATGTACTGCTGTGTTATAGATTGTGTTATAGGTCATGTATTATGGTTTGCATGGTCTGCTTACAAGACCAGGGATGTTAAATAGAAAGCCTTGAAAGTACGAGAAGCAAGCAGCTAGAAACTAATTGGAACTAATCTGAAACCAGCAAACTCAGAGAAGAGACTCCGAAACAACAGATGTGGAGTTGAACTTCTCAAAGTCCTACAGAAATTGAATCAATGTAGGCTGTAGGCACTTATGTTGTTTATGTGCTTCTAACAGCAGTCTTATTTATGAAAATACATTCTGTGTTTGGTGTTCAAGGCAAAAACTTGTCATGAGGTGCTTGTGATTCCTTCTGCTGACTGCTTCTTGGGAAGCTTTGGGTGACATGAGCATGTTCTGAGGCACATGGGCTGGGAAGAGCCATGTGCATTGCCCTTCCAGACTCGCTCAGAGAAGATCAATGCCACCAGTGATTTCTTCTATCTAGCCTTGGTATCAAATCTAACCTTGATACCAACTCTCTTGGCTGTTAGGATACTCTGTCAAATTAACAGAGTTCACTTTACTGAACTCCACTTCTTGCTCCACTCAACCCTCTTCAGCTCCAGAGATGTTCATGGATAGGAACATCACGTAGCATTCATTTCTAGCTTTAATGGTTGGTTGGACTAGATGATCTCAGCAGTCTTTTCCAACCTTAATGATTCTGTGATGGTGTTCTATTTTACGCAACTGCAATGATGTCATGGCCAATTCCTAATCATTCTGAGTCAGTGCTTACCTAAAGGCATTCCAAACACAAATTTATCAAAGGGAATTAAAGAAATCACTCAGCCACGCGTTCACCTCCTTCTAGTAAAAACAAAACCACAGATGAAGTATTTTAATCTGTAATTATTAAACCACTTTAAGGAGTGACATGATGCCAGCATGCGTGCTGCTGCCTGCCCTGAGCCGCCCATGAACCTGGGGAACATGGCAGCACTGAGCCTGAGTGCAGGAGCCGGAGTTCCACAAGGCAAAAATTGCTTTGGAGAGGGGACAGAGGGGACAGCTTTGAAACTGTGAGCCAGGGGATGAGCTGATGGGAATATGAGGCAAGAAGTTCACCTCCTTTGAGCCCTAGGCGACCATGCGCACCTTGAGGTAGGGCATCTTCCTGCACTGTTTATACATGAGTTAGTGGCTCTAGTGAGAAATGACATTTTCTTTAACAGCTGATGAATATGAAAAGCTGAAAGACTGGAATTGACATGAAAATTGCAACACTTGCAACAGCTGCTTAAAAAACAGGAGTGGTTTAGGGGCCCTTTGGATTTTATTTTATTTCACGAGCGTTGTAATAGTCAAAAATGTGATTGTGGTGTTTGTTTGAATGTGAGGGTTTTATTTCTAAGCTTTTTTTTTTTTTTCTTTTTAACTTGTGTGACACCCTCCTTGGTAAGAAATCTGCGTGGGCAATGAGGGAAACAGATCCAGACTGAACCCAAGAATCCAAGGGAGCAAACGAAAATGATCAAAAGTGCAGAAGTAAACTCAGTTTAATGGCAAACTGTGATCTTTGCCATAACCATAAAAAAAAAAAAAGGGGGGGAGGAAGGGGGGAGATGGAACCTCGAAAATAAAGAATTTTGGGGGGGAAAAAGTGCAAAGAAAATACTCAAATTGTGTTCACTAAGCATTGAGGATTTAAGGATCAAGGTGGGATCCGTTGGAAGGCTTTCTTTATTTTTCATTAGTTCTCATCTGCGAATGTTCTGAAGGAAAAAAAAAAAAAGGGGGGGGGGGGGAGGAGCGAAGAGAAAGAGGAAAAAGAGGGGAAAAAATGGAAGGAAAAAAAACAGCTATTCAACTTAAGGCTGAGTTGTTAATTGTTGAAGGAAACTGTTTCCTCCAAGACTGATAAATACCATAGGGTATTTCAAACAACTGAGTACTAAATCAAAGAGAAGTGCTGTTACATTATACAATGAAATCAAAGTGATTTGCAGAACCCTAAATGTTTCTTCGTTATCCTTAATCCTATACCATTAAAGTAATGAGGAACTCTGATAAGGTTTTCAGACAGTGACAAGGGAACATGAAAATTATGGGCATTTTTATTTAAAGCATTTCTCTCCGTGCTTTAGCTTTTAAATACAATGAAATATTGTAAATACTTCTATGAGGCTCTAATACAAGAGGCTGTAAATGAACTTTAAGCTGAAAGCTTTGTCAGAAGTCAAGACCAGGATACAGTCGTGCTGCTATCCTTCTATCCTGGATTAAAAAATATATAGTGGAATGTTTTGTGGTATAGAAGGCTTTTTACATGGCAAGAAATGAACAGTATTTTAAAAACTAGAAGTTATTTTTCAGCAGCACAAAATGTATTATTCAAGGAGGTGAGAATGATTTTTTCTAAGCAGTGTAGAGAAGACAAGTGTATATTAATATAAGTGTATAATATTGAGTTTCTTCCAAATACAAATGTCGAGTGCTTTCAGTACAATGCATAACAGGCACATTACACCAGATCTCTGCCATACATGACATGCACACTGCCACTTGTAATGAAGCATTAGAGCTGACAGACTCAGTGCATGTGCTTGGGTGGAGGATCGCACCTACTTTTGTACAGCATGGTTGTGTGGTGCGGAGCGTGCGTTATGCTTTGTGTTACAGCCACACTGACAGTGTCTATCTGATTTTTTTCATCAATATGACCACATGTATCTGCAAAAAGACATGGAAAGCTACTTCTCTCTGCATTTCAGCATAAGGAATTCCTTTTTTTCCCATTCAGTGCTGCCCTTACAGCTCTGTGTGAGTCCAAGCAGCGGCGATTGGGGGGGGGGGGGGTGCTTATTTCCAACCATGCTCTAAGATGAGATCGTGGACGAATCCCAGTCACTGTTACCCAAACCTGGATCATTTAATCAACTCTGTGCTCCCAAATGAGGAGAACACTGCTTTAATTCTTCTGAGCTGGATTAAAGGGAACGCATGCCAATGGCCCCATGTGGCAGTGACAGAGCGGCCATAACTCACTGCTACCAGTGAGCTCCGACTATTTATTTATCGAGTTCAGCCAACAGACTTCTAAGTGATTTAGATGTTCCCCAAGATAAAAACAGTGGAGTAGTCAGGGGCTTTGCAAATCTAGCGTTGCATCAGCAGCTGAAAGGGAACAAGAGGGAGGGCAGGGTGGGGGAAGCAGCTTGTGCGTAAATGAGCACGTTTTGGTTTTCTTGCTGACTGATATTAGCAAAGACAGTGAGTTGTGCTGTTCTTTAGGCACGTCCCTTGTTTGTTTTCAGTACAGAAAATGAGACAGTAGAGGGAGGATGGGACGGAGCAGCACATGAGATGCCAAATCAAAAGGCAAGTTAAAAATGGCAAGGATTAAAACAAGGGAGGCCTGAGGGAAAGGGAAAAGAATAATCAGTTCCTATAGGGAATAAAAGTGTCACCTTCTGAGGATGAGAGGAATTCCTTGTGTAGGGGATTTAGCAGTGAAGGACAGATTTTCCCCCCTCCCTTTTTTTTTTTTTTTTATTACTTAAAGGCAAAATATATGTTAAGCCTGACAAGCATTTTTGAACTTTGAACTCTCTGACCTTTGAAGCCTCCAAAATGAACCTGGGCTGACTCCAAAGGAATAGCAACAAATGGCAGAGTAGGTCCTTCTTCACCTCTCCTATATGATCCATACAAGAAAGGCCGTGGTTTGCCCCAATTTTCACCTTTCCTCCTTCTTCCCTCCTTCCCTCTGCTGCTGCTGCCTGGGGCACATGAGACAATCCTCTGTAGTTTATGGATATTTTCTGAGTTTAGAGATACGAATTAAAAAAATATATGTATCTCGCAGGAATGGGAACTTATCACCCTGTTGTGAGAGCAGTAAATGACAGACACTGCCCTTAAACCTGGAAGTCTGCATCAGATGCAGTGCAGAAAGAGTGAGGGGAAAGTACATGGAGCAAAACCTCTCGCCTTTTCTGTGCTGGAGTTGCTGGCGCACTTCTGTGTCGAGGAGAAAGGAGAACGATGTTTGCATCCCCTCCTGAGTTTTGCTGCTGCCTCTCTACCTGTTCTGTGCCCTCATAAAGTGTAAAATAGTGCCATCTACTGACACTGCATTTCACTGCTCTCTCCAGATGGCTCCGACAAGCGCAGGGCACTCAGCAGACCTCAAGAGCTGATTTTGTATCCTTTGGTTACTGCGTTAACTCTCTAACATGCTGCTTGGATGGCACTAAGGCAGCCATAGATCAACAGTTGAGATGAATGTTAGTTTCTGATGACACCAAAGTCATGGGGAAAAAATGAGCTTAGCCCCAAAGTTAAAAATCTACCATGTTATCACCTTGTTTGTAACTGCTATCACCCAAAACCCAACCACAAGAGCAACCCAATGTTGCACATGCTCACCCAACGCCAATGAGGGGGGAGTTGTTTTTGAATACATGCATAACTCAAGCTTTTAAAGTATATAAACTGTATGGAAG